AAATTTATATATTTATTTAAATTTTCATTAAAATTTAATATACAATATTTTTTAATTTCAAGAATAGTTTCAGACAGGCCTTATCATGTATTACAATTAGGTTTTTACTGCATTGAAAATGCCTATAATTAAGGAAGATATAGCAAATTTAGTTTTGGTTTCTTAAGAACAATTTGATCTCAAATTGCACCCTATAGAAGACAAGCATTACACACATTCTGATAGCTGTCACGTGTTTTCTTGCAAGGAAATTTCAAAAGACTTTATGCATGAAGTTGAAATAGTAGTGTCATGCAAAATAAAACTCAAATATAAAAGTTTGACAAAAACTTTGACCCTTTCAGGAATCAGTACACAATTAATAAAATCCGGTTCAGTACCCACGAATGTAGTCCCAGTCTATTTTTAGATCACTTTTTCCTGTCAAAGCTTGGTGGTGATACTAGTTTCAGATTTTGGCATTCTTGGTAAGGATTTAAAGGTAATTATTTATTCTTTAAAATGTGAGCTTATTGAGTGGTTGTCTGTGTGCATTTCGGCGCCAGTGCACATTGAGTAATAAGGTCTTGGTGATGATCCGGAAGTGAAATCTGTGTTCCGTTGCCTGGTGTTTTGTTTACAATTCAGCCTCTCAAAAAAATGCAGGTCAACCCTTGACAAGAACTAAACCGTAAAGTCATGTTTGAAAGTATTTTAGATTAACATATGATTTGTATTGATTGTCACACAGTGGAAAGTTCAGTACTGAGAAACAAATGTACAGACAATATAGTGAAATTGTGTACTATGGCGAACAGAACGATTTTGCTATAGAAACATATGTTCAAACGAAGACTTTGCAAACATAATTAAAACTTTCAGTAAGTTATGATTTGTTAGTAGGGCTCTAAATACATGACCAAATGGGCTACCTTGTAATGAAATAGGATTAAAAGTAACAATTTGTACATTGGTGTGCGTAATACATCCTTGACGAAGTATGCTTTATCGGAGTGATCGCGTTTGACGCACTTAAGAACTTTTAACATTTCAGAAACTTAATGCTTAAATAGTGATACATCTCATTTCCTTTGAAAACATTTATTTATTTGTTTCTGCAAAGTATCGATAACAAATGACAATGATATATTTAATAGTACTATTTAACACTTGCGTTCAGCCAGGTAACCCTTGGCAAGGTTTTGCTGTACATCACTTATTTGGACGCACGTCACGTCTGATACAGCCGAAAAATAAGATAGTTATATTCCAGGGCAACTTCAGTAGAACATTGGAAGCACAATATTATCGAAAATAAAATGAAGAAAAAAAACATAATTTAACATTCAATAACCGTTCATATATATATTTATTTTATGTATAGTTTTTGTAGAGATTTTGTCCCAGAAGCAATACGAATATACAACAATTAAATCTTTGTATGATTCATAATGGTATTATAATAAAAATGTAATTACAAGTAATATATTTATCTAATATGACTTGTCTTTATTTTGTATTTCTTAGCAGTGTGCTTATATGAATATGTTATTTATGCAGATTATCTGTCATTGAATGTACTTTTTTGAGCGTCAGAACAGTCGTGCAACTTTGATAACTTGTTTTTGTGGAAGTGAAAATAATCAGTGACAAAGATATAATATTAAAGTAGATTTTGAATTAGAGGCTGCAGATTTAATTATGAAATATACTTAACAGGTACTTCTTTAAATAGATATGAATTATGTTAAGAAAGAACCACCTGAAAAGAAAGTCAGTAAAGACAGCTCCACCGAAACTTTAAAAATGCAGCACAATAATATAAACAGTGTCACTGATTTTGTCATCCATTGTGAGTCGCATTTTCAAAACATGCTCATTGGCTGATTTGCTGTCCATTAAAAATTGTTATTAAAGATTTTTATGAGTATATTTTATTTCATAAGCATTAATGATATACATTTTCACCCTGTTTGACTCAATGTTGATTAGTGAAAACATGTTTTTATGACTTCATTGGGTGAACTTTGAGTTGATGATGCTGCGTTAAAATATCAGCATCAGAACAAGGAGCAAGATATTACTGTAAGCAAGGGCTAATCGACTTACAGGATAATTGAGGTGTGTTTAGCTCTACTGGTCATAGACCAGATGGTCTTATGAGATGGTCTGTACTCCTTTCATCCAACATTCAGTGTATGTCCGTCCATTAACACAAACTTGCCATGTCCTAAGATTTTAAAACTTTTTACCCATACATCCCATTCTCTTGTTGGTCCAAATGAAAATACCGGTAGCACTGCTCTGACATCCAATAAAGGCACAACTGTAACCTGCAGCATGGAAAGCCATGTCAATAAGGATTTTTCACCAGAAGATATTCAAATAATGCCAAGTTTCTTGTAAATTAAAACGCAGATGTGTGTCACTCTTTAAGACTTTTCCTTAAGATTATTGTTATTTTAACATCAAGCTCGCGTTGAGTACCCGTGCCTTTAGCAACATAAGAATCACATAAAAATTAATTACATTGACGTAAAATAACCGACTAGCCCAGTACATAACATCGATAAATTTACCACTGTTCGATTCTAAATATGGGAAATTGGTGTAACTGTCCGATCACTTTCGTCTTTACTTTTTCTTTGACACACCAACCGTTGCTTAAAAGTCAACGTATATATATATATATATATATATATATATATATATATATATATATATATATATATATAGAGAGAGAGAGAGAGAGAGAGAGAGAGAGAGAGAGAGAGAGAGAGAGAGAGAGAGAGAGAGAGAGAGAGAGAGAGAGATGGCGGGATTAACACAGGATTAATGGCTTTTCTTCCGAACTTGTGTTTACCTATAATTGGCGGAAAGACGCGAACGCAGTCCGATGTCGCCGGACGTTATTAAAGCCAATTAAACAGGGGGGGGGGCGGGGCGGGGAGATTGTTTTTTCTTCAGGCGATAAGAGATATCAGCCAAATCAAAATATTTTCACATTAAATAAGTAAACAAACCTAACCAGTGGGCAGTTTTTCGGTATAATGTTTACTTGTACGATTTTGATTAAACTGTTTGTATTAATTCGTTGCACAGATGATATTTTGGCACTCAAACAATACTCCCCCAACTCATCTTTTATTTTGTTTTCATTTCCAACAGTACTTGGCTATTTTAGATATTCTGCTCTGACTAAGTGGTTCACACAAGCAATACGTGGCATTATTTTTAGTACATAAAATGGCATGATTCTTATTATACCTTAACCATATCTACTTTTATATATTCACAGCTCCAACAGACGTACATAAACATACACTACGTTCAAAGAAATCAAACAGTTAGGCTGTCGATCTCTGAAAGTCAATCTTGAAGCAAGCTAACCCATTTTCATTATATTTAAAGGAAATGTAAACCAAATTAAAATTCATTTTATGTTTTATTACAAACTCAAATTTGAACTGATTAGGATAAATCTCTCAATCGTAATAAAAAATTTGGTTGTAATAATACGAAATTACAGAAAAACGTTCGACGAAATAATAAAGCACATGCGGAAAATATTAATTGGATATTCAGCTCTGGAGCATGCGGAAAATATTAATTGGATATTCAGTTCTGGAGCAGCGCTGTAGCGTAAGCTCAAACCGATGTTGCCGGATGTTTGATAGAAAATGATGAACATGCGCAAGAAAGTGCAAGAGAGAGAGTTAACAATGGTAAGCCTTAAGGGCATACAACGTATACTGTACCGTATAAAAGTATACGTCGTTAACGCCTGAGAGCCTTAGCAGTGTTAACAAATTTAGCCTTGAGGGCTTTAACAATGTATGTATCGGGTGTAAATAGGAGGAATCAAAAAGAAACGTCACTGATATGTGTTTTTTATAAGCATTTATACGGTGTTATATCCCTTTGCTACTTTTATATATGCATTCACAATTGTCGTCATATTACAAATATATACTTGGTAAATTAAATCAGAGATCATTTTCGAAATATTCGATAGACAACTGAATATTTATTCCAGTAATAATATTGGATTATCTTCAAAATGTTGTGTCTCTTGATGGAAATAAAGACTACATCCAATGTATAAGATATAGTATAATTTAGGGACAATGTTTCTTTGACCGACAAACACCACTTTAATAGGATCTGCATATTCAGGCAAAATGTCTCTAACAGCTTAATTTCCATGATATATTGAATCCAGGACCTTACCAATTCCTTTGATCTGAGCAAATGTTTATGTCTCCATTTTCCAGTCAAAGGAATATCCATGGAGTATGCATAAATGTAAACATACCCTTATTTGTTCAGTGATGATAAAAGATCAAAGAATTTGAGGAACCTGCGACAAGGATTTGGTAGAAAGCTTTATTCGAATTGTACTTGTCGCTTAGGATACTAATAATTTATAAGCACACGATGAACACTAACAATAACTACCCCTTAATACACACATACATACATACATACATACATACATACATACATACATACATACATACATACATACATACATACATACATACATACACACACACACACACACACACACACACATACATACATACATACATACATACATACATACATACATACATACATACATACATACGTTCATACGTACATACATACATACATACATACATACATACATACATACATACATACATACATACATACATACATACATACATACATACAGAAGTACGTACGGAAGTACTTGTATACGTGCTTGCGTACGTACGTTCGTACTGCTACGTGTTTGAGCTCATTCAAAAGTAACAAAGATTTGTGATTTAGTCTTTTAACGTAGCTTTGAAATTTTTTGAGTCGTATCGCTGCGATATTTGCAGTGAGATTTTTATAGGGATATCTAACATTAGGACATTATGCCGCAGACATGTGGCATTATATCCCACACAGTCACGCTATCCTGACAGCAGGCCGACCAGTGCTGTTACAAACCTCTTAATGCTGAGTACCATTTTTCAAAGTCTTTGGTATGACTCAAACGGGGTTCGAACCTGCAACCTTCCGCATCCAAGGCAGATCCTATAACCACTAGGCAACGAACGTGTTTCAAAAACAAAAGTAAAAAAGAAAAAAAGTGAACCCGACAAGCTCTGCAAAATTAAGAAAATACTTTATTTCCCTGCAAAACAAGGTAAAATATTACACAGGACTTATGTTTTGTGAATATAATAAAATAGAATATTTAAAATGAAAACTTGTCATCCAAATGGTCTCTTGAAAAGGTCTGCAAACGTCCTTCGCTCTTTAAAATGTTGGTAGTGAATGGTGAAAACGTAATACTGCTCATTTTCGTTTGTTGTGTAATACCTTATATGTCTTATAATCAACGGATCTGTGGAATGTTGGTAATTAATCGAGTCATCTGAAATCTAGTTGGTCTAAATAAGAGCCGCGGTGGTCTAAAACTCAGCTCGAATTACCAACGACTGAAAGGTGCGAGTTCGAAGAGTGTCAAACGGTCATCCCAGGTTGAACTAGACGTCGTCTGGTATTGGTTTGCAATAAAGCACCAACGCATACCACATACAAAATATAAAAGGTAAATACCTCCCATGTGTATATTTTTACAAATTCATTAAATTCAGAAAAATAATTATAGCTCATTAGAATTGTTCTATGTCGTTCTGAAGCCCAAGCGACATTTTGTCTATTCTTGGACATGCTCTTGGTCTTTAATTACACGGGAATGTCTGTCAATAGCTTTGTTAAATCTTACTGATTCCTTGCTCTGATCGGGTTTAATGATTGTCCGTTATTTTGTGTTATTTATGTTTGATTTTATTATGATTTAAACAGGTGAACAATATTTTAATTTGAATCTGATTTAAAGATATTTGATTTTCCTTAGTAAATTCTGTTCTGTCTTAGGTCTTTAGTATACATATGACTTGAGAAACAAGACTAAAACGTTTTACATGATCAAAAAAAAAATTAATAAATATTTAGTATTACCTAGTATTTCACAAGAACTTTATAAATCAATTTTTTAATTGGAACAACACTGCCACATTGATGTGATACTGCGATGACGTATTCAATATGCAGTATAATGAATTGGGTATATTATTTGTGTGAATCAATATATAGGTGTTTTTCAAACTGCGGATAAATGTTGAAAAACTTGAGACATTTCATTCAGGTATTAAATATAAACATCTACGTTACTCTAAAAGTGACATAAAACAGCCATTATCTGCATATTCCACAAATGCGTTTATACCACGTTGCCAAGCCAGGCAACAACAAACATTATACCACGTCGCCAAGCCATCCAATGACAAACATTATATCACGTCGCCAAGCCAGCCAACGACATAAATTATACCACGTAGCCAAGCCAGCCAACGACAAACATTATATCACGTCGCCAAGCCAGCCAACGACAAACATTATACCACGTCGCCAAGCCATCCAACGACAAACATATCTAGAATTAGCCCTGTTCGACGACCGTTCAGGTAGTCTAGTGGTTAGAGCGTCCGCCTCAAACATGGAAGTTTGCTTGTTCGAAACCAGGCTGAGTCATACCAAAGACTTATAAAAAGGCAATAACAGCTGCCTCGTTAGAAGATCAGCATTAAGAGGTTAGTGTTAGGACTGGTCTGCCTATTTTCAGAAAATGTGACTGTGGGACATGATGCTACATTTCTTCGGCATGACACTCCTGTATTAGACATCGTTATAAACTGCCACAATGCAGACATAGTAGCGATATGACTGAACAGTTTTTTTTTAAACTGCGTTAAGCATCCAAATCACATGCATACATTTTCTTCTTCGAGCGAGGATTTGTTGACGTCAGAGAGCTTTGGCTGGTCATTGAGTTGAGGATCCGTATTCTGCATTTGTCTTAGTGTTAGGAATCCGTAATCTTCAATCAAACAACAGAAAGAAGTGAAATAAATAATTAATATGTCTAACAAACTGAACCGATAGTAATGTGAATTAAATGCCCAATAATCGTGGATGTTCAACCACAAGTCCAACAGTTTAGAACGTTCCAGAAGAATTTCAATTCGAATGTGCTGATGACTGAATTCACAACAATTCCTAAAAATTGTTTTGGTCCAAAACATCAATAAGCGTTCGCAATTCTAATGAAAAATTGAAGTACATTAATGCTTTCAAATTATATTTGATCATAAAATTAAATTATTCCATACACTGAAGTTAAAATAGGAATAAACACTTTGTTTGTCACATCCTTATATACCAATCTCACTTGATCTAAGACGCAATAAAAATGCCTAGCATCGGGTTCAGAAATTCCCTTCCAAAAAATTTAAAAGTCTTAGGCCTAATTCTGCTGCCAACTGACAAATTGGGGAAGAAATATTAACAAAGTAGCAATAAACTCTTAACAAACGAAAAATGTCATTAGAAGAAGACCCCTCAGGAAAATTTTAAAAAAACCTGACAATAAAATACACAGAGAATGTTATAAACCCATTAATATTGTAAAGGGGAATGACTGGAAGAATTACTAACAAATGATATACAACATCTCGACATCAGTGGCTTATAATGCTCCATAATAGAATGAGAAACAAAGTTTAACGTTCTCTATGACAGATATATATTTTGTAACGATTGTGGAGATACACACAGTTCAGTATTTCAGTAGGCGGTATGCAGTTTTATTTTATAACCTGTAAGATTATGATCCCCAGTTCGTCATAGACAAAATCATTTTGGGAAGGACTTTTAAGCGAAGAATGTTTTTCAAATGTTTACTTGCAACCATTCCGCAACATTTTCTTCAAAACATTCATATACTTCTGAACATAATTAAGAAATGAAATTATTGTGACAGAAATTATTCATTTAATTTTTGTAGTAACAGTATAAAAAACATAATCATTGTAAATAATACCAATGTGTGAATGAATCCCAAGTCATAAAAACAACACAATGAAACTGCATATCTAATTATATAATGCTATCGAAGAATACGTCACTGCCTGCGATTGTCCCTCTCTTCCGAACAACCCTAATTTAATTTTTGTTTGCATTAACTTTAATGAGACACATGTAACAATGTGCACTCAGAGCACAAGAACACGTTTTCCAGAAAAATATAACTAAGTCATCAGATATACAATACAAAACATTTGCATAATACATATGTTAGGTAATTGAACTAATATATCAATAAATATTTTGTTCAATGTCAATAATAAATAAAGAAAATAAAAGAGCTTTGATTTTAACGATCATAACTTGTAAACAAATATACATTTTCGGTTGATACCGACAACGTCACTTTGATATAAGATCATTATAACTTTCAATCGCTTTACTGTTTACAATTTCGTGCAATGTAGTTTAGTGCTATATTTTGAAAGAAGATTTTCAACTTCTATTATACATTCTGTTCGCCGTGTTTATCTCTATGTTTCGCTAGACGATCTAACGCTCTTAATAACTTGGGCTATACTAATGGCTTTAATAAATAATGGAGCATGCTATAAGAAACCCGATTCCAAGCGCTTGAGAATACCACTCTTTAGAGCGTTTCAAAATGGAGCCATTTATATGAGAAATGAAATTCCTTCAAGACATTTATGGTCATTAATCGTTTTAATCCTTCCCCCCAATCTACAGTACTTGAAGACATGCTTGTTTTGGCATAAATATAGAAAATCGGCAGTAAAAACAAAGTTCCATCTGCAGGGTAAAATGTTGTTTAATTTTGAGGAGCTCAAAGTTTTGTTTTTGAATAATACAAGTGTGAATAATGTGTTATCTTTTTCCTAATTACTTATACTTTATTATTTTATTCTTGTTGTCAATTTTCTTTTGTTGGTAATGTGACATACGTGATGGTAGTAAATATAACCCTACCGGCAGAAACACGAATAACCCTAAAAGTAAAATGTCTGCAGCAACTTGTTCGAATACAAAAATCTTATAATGCAGACATAGTAGCGATATGACTCAACAGTTTTTAAAACTGCGTTAAAAATCCAAATCACTTGCTTACCGTGTCTTGTTCGAGCGAGGATTTGTTGACGTCAGAGAGCTTTGGCTGGTCACTGAGTTGAGGATCCGTATTTTGCAGTTATCTTAGTGTTAGGAATCTGTAATCTTCAATCAAACAACAGAAAAGAAGCGAATCAAATATTTAACTTGTCTAACAAATTGAACCTACAGTAATGTGAATTAAATCCCCAATAATCATGAATGCTCAAGCACAAGTCCAAATGTTTAGAACGTTCCAAAATAATTGCAATTCGAATGTGCTGATGCACAAATACATTTGATTGTGCCAATGTATCAATGGTGTCGATGTATCACAATGATATAATCCAGAATGTCTTTGACTGAATTCACAACAATTCCAAAAAATTGTTTTTGTCCAAAACATCAATAAGCGCTTTGCAATTCTAATGAAAAATTGAAGTACATTAATGCTTTAAAATTATATTTGATCACAAGATTAAATTATTCCATAGAGTGAAGTTAAAACAGGAATAAATACTATGCTTATCGCATCCTTAAATACTACTCTCACTTGACCTAAGACGCAATAAAATGCCTAGGATCGGGGTCAGATATTCCCTTCCAAAATATTTACCTAATTCTGATACTAACTGACAAATTGGGGAGGAACATTAACAAAGTAGCAATCAACTCCTAGCATACGAAAAATGTCACTAGAAGAAGACCCCTCAGGAAAATTAAAAAAAAACTGATAAAAAATACACAGAGAATGTCCTATACCCATTAATATTGTAAAGGGGAATGACTGGAAGAATTACTAACAAATGATATACAACATCTCGACATCAGTGGCTTATAATGCTCCATAACAGAATGAGAAACAAAGCGTAACGTTCTCTATGACAGATATATATTTTGTAACGATTGTGGAGATACACACAGTTCAGTATTTCAGTAGGCGGTATGCAGTTTTATTTTATAACCTGTAAGATTATGATCCCCAGTTCGTCATATACAAATCATTTTGGGCAGGATTTGTAAGCCAAGAATGTTTTTCAAACGTTTACTTGCAACCATTCCGCAACATTTTCTTCAAAAC